GCGCGCAGGAGGAGGCAAGTGGCGGCGAGGCCCTCGAGGGGGAGCACGCCCTCCGTAGCCCTGTCCTTCTGCGGCGCAGAGCTAGACAGCCGCCTCCGCCAGACCCGCTGCCCACCTGTAGGCCGCTTCGCCATAGCGCAGCGCGCCTCGCGCTGGCACGAGCGGCGGCGCAGGAAGCACGCTCGCAAGTCCGGCGCCGCGCCCTTCGCCGAGCGGACGTGGCAGAGAGTGCTCCTCGCCGAGAGGCTGCGGCGAGCGATCCGCACCCGCGAAGGCGGCGTCGCGAACAGCGGCGACCCGACTGCTGAGGTGCGACGAGAGGGCCTCCCAGGGCGGCGAGGAGTGGCGCGGTGCGCTTCTCATGTCGCGACGTGCGAGCAGGCGCTGCTGACAGACGTGTGCTGCAGCACACCCGCCCCCTCCCTTCCTCCGCGCCTGAGCCGAGCCGAGGAGATAGGATCGCACCGCCGCGCTGCGCGCCGCGCCCTGCCTGCGTGGAGTGTGCAGGGGGGCGGCCGGTGAGAGTAGGTGCGGCTCGACGCTCGGCAGCGCTCGTCCTTGCTGCGCTTCGCTGCCGCCGTCGGAGAGGATGGCGAGGCGGCAGCGGAAGAGGCGCCGCCCGCACTCATTGCGGGAGATGTCCACGCGAGAGGAGGGAGAGGGGCGAGGCGCTGACCTCCAGGCGCTTGCACCGCCTCTGCTCACCTCGCGGCCCCGTCGGCCAACGCGGCGCGCCCGACGAGCCGCGGCGGTGGCCGAGAAGTCGGAGCCGGCCGGTTCGTCGCAGCCTCATCGCCTTGCGACGCCGAGGGAGTGCGGCGAGTGGGTGCGCGAGCGGCAGCTGGAGAGCCTCGAGCGCTGGCTGAGTCACGCCGGCGACGTCGCGCAGGGCCTAGGCGCTCCTTGAAGAGGGAACCACACACGCCAAAACATTTGCGTCTTTTCTATCACGATACGTATGTGTGCAAAGTCTCGGAGATCGACATTTCCCCCCCCGCGGCCCGCGCTCGAGAGGGACACGGTTCTCACGGAGATCACGGACACGGTCGGGCGTGTACTGTACGTGATTTATTTGGGCGCGGCCCCCGCCGGCGCCCTCGCGGCGTCATGTCACCGACGCCTTCCCCCTGCCGCCCGCCGCGGCCGCCTTGCCCGCGGTTTTGGGCATCTTTTTGCCCGCGTCGTCCTCGATGTCCTTCCGCTGGTAAAAGTGCGGCGCGATCTCGACGAGCCAGTCGGGCTTGATCTCGATGATCTGCCGCATAAACTCCTTGGTGGTGAAGACGAGCTCGTGGTAGACTACCCACCGTGGCTGCGAGCCGTGCAGCGTCGAGGACGGGTGGACGTGGACCGTCTGCGGGTGCTTGACGGTCCGGTAGTCGAGCGTCTTTTGCAGCTGCGCCGTGTGGTAAAAGTAGCCCGCCGTGACCGCCTTCGCGACCCCGTCCGTCGCCTGCGGGTCGGACGTCACCTCGAGCTCGACCCGCTCGCAGAGCGCCTCGACCTGCTCGCGGATGTCGCGCGCCTTGCGCATCGAGCGCACCTGGATGAAGTTCTCAAAGCACCACTGCGTCGAGTACTGCGTCTCGGCCCACTGGTTCCACACGTTGAGCAGCGTGAAGTGGTCGCCGCCCGGCCGGTTGAAGTTGTTGCGCGCGTTGTCGGCGTGCATCGCGCGCTCCTTCGGCCGGTAGAAGATGGAGGCGCCGATCTGCAGCATCGCGCAGATGGAGAGCACCTCGGCCACCACGCCGTACGGCTCGGCGGAGAGCAGCGTCTTCGAGGCCTGCGGGTCCATCGGGAACTCGGCCATCCGCCGCCCGAGCTTGGTCAGCTCCCCGCGGTCGTTGAGCGCGCCGAGCGCGTAGAGCTGCTCGAGCGCGCGGATGAGCGTCTCCGCGGGCGGCGGGTCCATAAAGTCGAAGTGGATGAGGTCGTTGATGCCGAGCGACTTGAGCATGAGCACCACCGAGCCGAGGTTGGTGCGCTGGATCTCCGGGATGATGTTGTCCTCGAGCTCGTTCAGGTAGGCCCACTTGGTGTACAGCCGGAAGCACTTGCCGGGGGCGACGCGGCCCGCGCGGCCGGCGCGCTGGTTCGCGGACGACTTTGCGACCGGCGTGACGATGAGCGACTCCATCGAGGTGCGGGGGTTGTACGAGTTCATCTTGTTGAAGCCCGGGTCGATGACATAGATGATGTTGTCGATGGTGATCGACGTCTCGGCGATGTTGGTCGCGAGCACCACCTTGCGCGCGCCGGGCGGCGTCGGCTCGAAGATCTTTGCCTGCATGTCGGACGGCAGGTTGGCGTAGATGGGGAGGACGATGAGCTCGGCGATCTTTGTGCCGAAGCCGCGCGTGCGGTGCTGCAGCGTCTCCTGCGCCGACTCGATCTCGTCCTGCCCCGTGAAGAAGACGAGGATGTCGCCCGGCCCCTGCGTGATGTGGATCTGAAGCACCGTCACGACCGCCGCCTCGAGGTAGTCCGCCTCGGGCGCCTTCGTGTAGAGGATGTCGACCGGGTAGCGGCGGCCCGGGATGTTGAAGACGGGCGCGTCGTCGAAGTACTCGGAGAACTTTGCCGCGTCGAGCGTCGCCGACGAGACTAGCAGCTTGATGTCCGGCCGGAAGCGCGCGATGTCCTTGAGCAGGCCGAAGAGGACGTCGGTGTGGAGCGTGCGCTCGTGCGCCTCGTCCAGGATCATCGCCGAGTAGGAGGCGAGGTCGGGCTCGCCGAGAAACTCGCGCAGCAGCATGCCGTCCGTCATGTACTTGAGCGCGGTCCGCTCCGAGGTGCAGTCCTCGAACCGGATCGAGTAGCCAACCTCGTTGCCCAGCTTGCAGCCAACCTCCTCGGCGACGCGGGCGGCGACGGACATGGCGGCCACACGGCGCGGCTGCGTGCAGCCGATCTTCTTGCCGTCCTCGCAGTAGCCCGCCTCCATCAGGTACTGCGGCACCTGCGTCGTCTTGCCGGAGCCTGTCTCGCCGACGATGATCAGGCACTGGTAGCTGTTCACCGCCTCGATGATCTGCTCGCGGTACGGAAAGACGGGGAGGGTCTTGCGCACCTGCGGCACGGCCGGCGGGGGGGGTGAGGCGGGGGGGAGTGAGGCGGGGGGGAGCGAGGCGGGGCGCGTCGGCGGGGGCGCGGCGTGCCGGGGCGGGGGGCGGAGGGGAGGAGGCGGAGGGGAGTGAGGGGAGTGAGGGGAGTGAGGGGAGTGAGGGGAGTGAGGCGGGCGAGGCGGGCGAGGCGGGCGAGGCGGGCGAGGCGGGCGAGGCGGGCGAGGCGGGCGAGGCGGGCGAGGCGGGCGAGGCGGGCGAGGCGGGCGAGGCGGGCGAGGCGGGCGAGGCGGGCGAGGCGGGCGAGGCGGCTGGTCGCCTCCGCGAGCGAGTCCTTCTTGGACGGCTTCTTCGGCGCGTCTGCGCCAGGCTCGCCGAGATTGCCTGCGATGATCTCGTCGGCGATGAAGTCGATCTGCTCCTCGGTCGCCATCACGAGCTCGTACTCCTTGCCTCCCGTCTCGCCCATCTGCGCGCCCTTGCCCCGCCGATCAGCGGCTCCGACCCGCGCCGTCGAGCGCTTGATCTGCGTGGCGTCCCACGCCTGGAACTCATTCATCTCCTCGCCCTCCTCCTCCTGGTAGCGAGCGAGCAGCCCGTCGAAGCGCTCGTCCTGCCGCGCGCCGCCCTCGAGGTCGTCGTACGCGGACGGCATCGTGTACCGCTCCACCTTGTCCGAGATGTTGACGCGCTCGTTAGCGAGGTCGTAAAGACGCTTCTTGAGGTCGCGCTCCTCCTTCTCGCGCGCGGTCAGCTCGACGTCGCCGAAGAGGTACTCCTCGTCGCGCACGTCGTCGCGCGCCTCCTCCAGCTTCTGCTTCTCGCGCTTCTCCAGGTACACTTGCCGCGACACCTTTCGCAGCTGCTCCAGCACGCTCGCCTTCTCCTCGTCGTTGGCCTTGAGCAGCCGCGCCTCGTCCTCGCGCCGGCCGACCACGGCGAGCGCGTCGCCGCCCAGCTTGCGCGTCTTCTCCAGATCGCGCTGCCGCAGCCGCTCCGCGAACTCGTCGCGCTCCGCCAGGTCGCGGGCGCGCTCCGTGTCCGCCGCAGCCGCCGCGGCCGCCTCCGCTCCCTCGGAGCTCGGCGCGGCCGGCGCGGCAGCGGCCGCCTCGTCGCCCGCAGCGCGGCTTCGCTTGCGCTGCGCCCGCTGCCGCTCCTTGAGAGCGCGCTGCACCGCCGCCTCGGTCTCCGCCGCCTCGTCGTCGTCGTCATCGAGGAGCCCGTACTCCGCGTTCTGCTTGAGCAGGTCGAGCTTCTCCTTTTTGTCGGCGGCAGCGCGCGCCTTCTGCTGTGCCGCGGCGCCGCCGCTCTTACGCGGCGCCCGCGCGAAGAGGTCCTCCGCGAACTTGCGTGTCGCCGGCGTGTTTGGCACATCGGCCGCGTGCAGCTTGGCGAGGAGAGCCGCGGCCGACTTTTCCGACGAGGCGAGGTTGGTCACGTAATCGGTGAGAAAGTTTTCCGAGTACCCGAGCAAGCTCATGAGCTGGTCGGACACCCATTCCTTCATGGTGCCCATCCGCCGCGCGGAGATGGCCCCGTCCACGCGCGAGGCGGGCCGCGAAGAACCGGGCTCGCAGCAGATCGAGCAAAGAGAGGGCGTGGCCAGGGCGTGGCCAGCGTCGCGGCCGAAGCCGATTGAAGAAACCATTGTAGCTCTCTGCCTCTGTGTTCGTGCGTCGCCCATCTCTCATGGAGATCCTTCTTTGTTTATTCCCGACTATCGTCTCGTTCGGCCATCCTACGTACCAGAGGTATAAGCAGCTCCCTCTCTACCTACATACAAGGTCTTTCTTCTCACATCTCGGCGCACCATCTCTAATCTGCCCCTGGCAGCCCGCATTCGAACGATGGATGGATATTTCGCTAATACTTGAATTTTCACGCCGTCTAACAATGGGTGTGGTACGCCTGGAGTGCACCACTTGCACCCAGATCGCTCGCCATCCTCCAGACCCATCCTCTGTGCGTCCTTGACAAGCTTGGTTCCGCTCCCCGAGCCCGCCACCGCACACAGAAGCTCGTGACGCACGTTCTCGCCATCGTCCGGCAGCCGCAAAGCGACTGGAGCACTTGGAGCACTTGGAGTGCACTTGGTGCAGTATGGATTTTTCCGGCCCGCCTAACAATCGTTGCTGTAGAGTGTAGTGGCGCCAATGGCCGCCTCCCGTCGCGCCATTGGCACCCTAGCCAGCAGTAGCACCGGAGGCAACGCCACCAAGCCCATAAGTCACAAGAGTGACGGAGATGCTTGCCACGAGCACCGTGACACCCGACCCTGTGCGAGCACCGTGGGCGTATACGGCTGCATACGGTGAAATGATGCACAGCATGGCCAGACGAGGGATGCAAGGCTCGCCAGCTGTATGTTAGTGAGGTATATGGATGTGAGCAACATGTGTGCGTCACAGGTACGCGCAGCAGCGCATGTAGCCGCTGAGATCGAAGACAGCGCAAACAGGTCTTTTTGCGCCACCGAAGCGCCACGCACCCGATGGCCATGCTGGGCATGCTGGTCCAACCGCGTGCACAGGAAAAGCTATCAGCGCGTCTCCGCCATAACTGGACATGGCAATGAAGCAGCTGAGACGTGATAACACCAGCGCTGAGCCAAGGAGGTGGCCGCTCACCGCCGCCGATTGTTAGGACGGTCGTGTCGAAGGCGAGCGGCGGGGTCGTCGGGCAGCAGCTCGTGGCGATCATCGATCCGCGAGCTGCCAAGCTTGCCACAGGCCGGCACTGGGTCGAGGACGATGGCGCCGCGCGACTGGAGGCAACGAGAAAAATCAAGCCTGAGCGGGTTGCGATCACATAGACAATATGGATTTACGAACAGTCATCAACCCTGTTGACCAAGAACAGTCATCAACCCACACAACGAGCGCAGGAGTGGTACGGGTATGCGCGCGCCTCACTCACTCACGGGGCTTCGGCCGGCCCTGCTTTGAGGACCAGGCCCTTGCGTCCTCTGTCACCACATTCGGCCGGCGCAGCTGCGGTGGCAGCAGCGCCTTCTTGGCGCCGCTCGCCGCCTGCGGAGCGGCGACGGCGCGGCGCTTTGCGGGCGGCTCGGCCGGTCCGCCCGGAGTCGAGATTGGTAACGCGGCCGGCATATGCGACTTTGAATGCCTCGACCCCGGACCCGCCGCCGCGGCGAGTGAGGACGGTAGAGGCACCGCATTGTAGCGCGTGCCCTTGGGATCGGTCGGTTGCTCGTCGTCGCTGTCGCCTCCGGTGCTGGTCCAGGAGTCGGGCAGGCCCAGGTCCGAGGCCGACGGGAGCGCCGGTTGCGAGGGCGCGGTGGCGGCGGCGGCGGCGGCGGCGGAGGCGGCAGTGGACGCTGCGAGGGACGCGGCGGAAGAATGCAGGGCCGACGGCGCCGCGTCCTCGTCCTCAGAATCGGAGTCCTCGCCGTACGCGCCCAGCGCGGCGAGAGGGTCCATGAACACAGGCAGGATGTATCCGGAGGCGGAGCGAGGGGGCGACCGACAACCACAGCTCAAGACGGAGCGCCGGCGTGAAAAATAAATTTTTACGCAATTGCAAACACATTCGATGAGGCCGCGGAGCCTAGCGTGTCTGATCGTTTTTACTTTCATGAACGACGGAAGGAAGTAGAAAAGAAAACGTGCGATGGTCTGTTAGCTCTCGAGGTCGGATCTCGCCTCTTGGTCTCGCGCCGGCGCCAGAGGTCCGCCGCCGCTGCCAGCCCCGCCGCCTCCGATCCGCCCCGCCTCCATCCCTCCTAGCTCGCGGCCGCATCGGGCTCGCCGCTCGCGCGCCGAGGCCGCCTCCGCAGCCTCGTAGTGCGCCACCAGCCGCGCGACGGCGGCGTCGCCGGTGACGTTGAGCGTGGTGCGGAGGCGGTCAAGCAGCCAGTCGACGGCGAGGAGGAAGGAGAAGGTGGGCGGGATGCCCGAGGCGCTGAAGACCGTGTTGTACGCCGTCACGATCAGGACGAGACCTGCGGACGGCACCGGCGCCGCGCCGGCCGAGCCGAGGGTCGCGATGAGCAACAGCATGGCGTAGCTGGCGACGGAGAGCTGGTCGGCGAGGCCGGCGGTGACGGCGAGGAAGACGGTGGCGACGGGAAAGTAGAGCGCGCCCCCGTCCATGTTGAGGGTTGCGCCGAGGGGGATGACGAAGCGGCTTATGTGCGGCGGCACCTGCCCGCTCTCGAGGACGCACCGCGTGGTGACGGGGACGGTGGCGGCGGAGGAGGCGGTGGCGAAGGCGACGACCTGGGCCGGGACGACGTGGCGGAGGAACGGGAGCGGGCTCTCTCGGGTGACCAGAGCGAGGAGGAGGAGGTACGCGGCGGCGTGGAGCGAGAAGCCGACGGCGGTGGCGCAGAGCAGCAGGCCCACGTTCGCGAGGGCGGCGCCGAGGTCCGCCTGCTGGCCGAGCGCGTTCGCCACCAGCGAGAGCACGGCGGCGGGCGTGAGCCGCAGCAGCCACCCCACGAGCACCAGCAGCACCTCCTCCACCTCCCTGAAGAGCGTCAGCAGTCGCCTCTCGCGCGCACCTCCGCCTCCGCCGCCGCCGCCGCCGCCGCCTCCTCCGCCGCCGCTGCCGCCGCCGCCGCGCTCCGCCGCGTGGTGCAGGCCGAAGCCGAGGGCGACGGCGAAGACGATGAGCGACGCGAAGTTGGAGGCGGCAAAGTCGGCGGTGAGGTTGGACGAGACGAGCTTGAGGAAGACGCCCTCGTACAGCGTGTCGCTGAGCGAGAGGTTGGCGAGCTCGGCGTCTCCCGCCGCCGTCGCGCCGGGCGCGTGCGACGGAAGGAACAGGCGGGAGAAGACCAGCGCGGTGCCGACGCCGATGCTCGCGGCCGCGACGGTCGTGGTCAGGTAGAGGAGAATGGTCCGCCTCACGACCTCGCCAGCCTTGCCCCTCGCCAGCATGTCGGCCACGGAGAGCGTCACGCTCACGAATACCAGCGGCAGGACGACGCAGCGCAACCCGCGCAGGAAGAGGTCGCCAACCAGGCCGACCCACCGCACGGCGCTCCTCTTGGCTGCCGGGTCCGCCGGCTGCCAGGACGACAGCCCCCAGCCGGCCAGCAGGCCGAGGCTGGCGCAGCAAACGACCACGGCGACGGGGTGGCTCCAGCAAGCGCCCTGCGAGCCGCTGCTTCGCCGCGAAGAAGACGGGCCGAGGACGAGAGGCTCATCACCGAACGGCTCCATGTGCCGGGGCTCTGTGCTCACGCTCTGCCGGGGCTCTGCCGGCTCCAAGCTGCCGGGGCTCTGTGAGCACGCTTGCTTTGCGGTCGGCTCGTCGTGCACTATGAATTTTGCGCAGCGGCGCCGTCGGCGCCCGGCGATACGGGACCAGCTGAACCGCCGGCCCGAGCACCTGTGGCTCAGCTCGCGTCGGGCTATCTTCTTTCACGTAAACGCACAACCCCGGACCCGAAATCGCACAGAGTCACGCAACACGGGGTCCCAGGGAAGGCGAGCAAAAACCTTATCTTTCACACCTCGTGGTGAGCCGGTTCTTTCTTCAGACGGGCCCCTCCACCTTCATGTAATCATGTAGTGCCCACATCCGCAATCGTGGCACGTGGGATCGCTTGTCATGTGAGAGAGTGCGTTGTGTTCTTGTTGGGCATGCGCTTTCTCTTTCTTCGGACCCTGTCTGGGCGCTAGTGATGTTCGATCCTCCCCATAGTCGAACTGTGGCAGCCACTCGCACCGGTGGAGGTGTGGGTACGATCGTACGAAAAGGCCGGAGTCCTCTTTGCGCCGCTCGCTCGCGGCGGCAGGAGACATGGCCGCGGATGTGGCTCGCATTCGCTCGGCGGGCCTCCGTCTCACACACAGCCGCCCGGGCGTGCCAGGGGTCTGCCTGGCGCTGCGCTGCTCGCACGCTGCACTGCACAAAGCTGCGACAACAAGGGGATGCTCCTGAGCTTGAGCGTTGAGCAGTGCAGCTGCGGGTGCTCGTGGACAGCTGTGCAGTGGTGAGAGCGCCTGATTGGAGGCGAGAGCGGCCGCACATTGCTCGCTACCCCCCCTGCACATCTAAAGTCATCCCTGCTGCTAGGGGGGGGGGTCTGACCCCCCCAGCAGCAGAGCGCTGCTGCTGGGGGGGGGGTCCCGACCCCCCCAGCAGCAGAGCGCACGGACCCAGCTCTCCCGCCTCTTCGCCGCCGCCGCCCCCTCCCACCTCGGCTCGTGTTGTTTTAGCGGTACGCTCGAGGCATGTCTTCCGACAAATCAAGCAGACCGACCGCCGTGAAGCGTGATGATAGCGAGAGGGCAACTCCGCGAGGTTGAGCGCTGCAACGCTCTCGCTGCGCGGTACTCGGCGGTGTCGCAGCGTCGAGCAACACTCGGTGTCAGAGCGTCGCGCCTACATCAGTAGTCTCGTCACCGAGTGATTGCTGGCCTGTGGCGTATGACCTCGCGCGGATATCACCAACGACGAGCATGCGAAGATATGGAGCAACTTGTACAGCCCGCTGTACTCTCCCGGCTGTGCCACGGCGTATGGGCTGCGAGAGCAATATCTTCCCTCCTTGAAGCAGAGGCGCCGCGAGGCACGAGAGGAGAAGAAAAGAGACTGGCGTGCCCCGCGCCCGGCTGGCAGTAGGAGGGTACGCCGGTGAGACCACTGGTTTTGT